TAACTTTCAGATCATTGTTGGTGGCAGCTTGTGAAAAGAAATCAATACAAATATTTGACCCCCTCAACCGTGAGAAGATACATACAGTAGTTGGATCTCATGCTGATTGCGTCAACTGTGTTAAGTAAGTAGTTATTGCAACTATTCAAGTGTAGGAGAGCCATGCTTCAGCATGATTGGGTCGGCTTGAAAAAAGTGATACCACGACCTCACAGAAAACCTTTGCCTTGTTTTTCGTCGTGTTAGTGAAGTTACTGGAGGCCCAAATATACCCCTCTACCCCGATACCTGAATCCCCAACAATCCTTAGATTCCTAATCCCCAAAAGGCCGGTAATGCACTTGTAACGCCTTTGGTGTTTTGGGTGACGCTGATTGCTTATGGGGGAGGCCTACATTCACCATGTGATGTGTGTGATACGATGATGATGATGATGTATACAAGGCTTGGACTGTCTTAAGATAATTGGGCATTGCAATAATGTGATTTGTTTTCTTTTGCCTTTTACCAGGGGCTTCGGCAGCGTTAATAGGATATAAAGTAGTCTCCATATCATTAAAATATAATTTATCATGTTGATGTTTGCTGTTATAATATTTAGAGGAGATCGGATTGTAATCTGCTTGCCAACTAATAATTTACTTATACCCATTTGAGAAGTGTTTAAATAGCACTAAAACAGTAACTATTTAACATCAGTTAATTTTTGCATAAACCTATCCTTTGACTGCCTCGTTGGCCGAGTGGTCGCAAGTGCGGTTGCCAGGCAAGGGGTCTCGGGTTCGATTCCCGGGTCGGGCAAAATATTACTGGGTTTTTAAAAAAAATCTGAGTTGTAGCACGGAGTCTGGAATTGTGCCCGGTATGTGGCAATAGGCTCACCCTCTATTACATGGGACTAATAACATAAATAGTGAAAAGTGGGTGTTACATTGGCATAATGTGCACCTCTACCTACCCCTTCGGGGATAAAAGGCGTGTGTTATGTTATGTCTTTCCTTTTCTTTACTTCTATGTTTACTTTTTTCTAGATTCCTCGATGGCCGCATGTTTGCAACATGTTCAGACGATACTACAATAGCATTATGGGACGTTCGAAATCTCAAAAAGAAAATACGAACACTATTAGGTCATTCAAAATGGGTTAAAAATATAGAATTCTCAGTTAAAGACAAATTGCTAGTCACATCGGGGCTAGATGGTAGTATATACACATGGGACATAAATTCCTACACAGAGTATAACCTTATATACCAAAGAGTATTTCATACATCTAGTTTGATGAGGTGTCGGCTGTCTCCGGACTCGAAGCAGATGATAATGTGCACGACTGGAGGACTTATTATAATAATACACGACCTGAATCTAAATACGCTGTCACAAGATTTACATGGATTTAAGGTAAGCTTTGTAATTTAGAACCTTGACTATTTCGTAACTTAATTTCTTACTTATTTCCTTAAGCAGGCGGTGAGATTTATCCTTATAGAATGTAGCTAATCACTTACCGTTGACCTACTTACGTTCAATGATAAACTTCAAGGACTATTGCAAAGTTTGTGCTACAGAAAATGTAAATTAATTACCTTTTTTTATTGCGAGAGCTCTGCGGGACTCACGTGGCTTAGCTTCTAACAATATTAACATTGATTTAATAAAAAGAAAAAATAAAAATTCAAAATAATTTTATATTCCAGCCAAATCTATATAGGTTGATGCAAATGAGCAGGCAGCCTATACCTATAGCCACTATGTACGATCACCTCTTTGATAGCAGTCGCAAGGAAAACCGCGTTGAATTTGTATCGGACTTCCCAGATGGAAATGATGCTGAGGTGGTCAGCTCTCTACAGGTAAAAGGTTTTTTTCAGTGACATTGTCCTTTCTTAGTTGTCCTAAAATAATTTGGTATAGATAGGATAGGAAAATTTACTAATATTATATTTATAGCACTGTTGGAAGCGAACATGCTTATGACTTAACTAGCTACTTCCGCGCGGTTTCACACGCTCTGCTCAGCTCCTATTGGTCGTCGCGTGATGTTTTATCCTCCTCCATCCAGCAATAAATGCGTTTTCCAACACAAAAAGAATTGTCAAATCAGACTTGTAGTTACGGAGATTAGCGCGTTCAAACAAACAATCAAAAAAACAAACTCTTCCGCTTTATATAATAGTATAAGATTGGTGAAGAACGGTTACCATATTAAGCAATCTTATAAAATGCGAAAGTAAAGTATAATTTCTTTTTGTCATTATTTCAGGTTCATCCCCAAGGTTGGAGCGCTTTGAGTAGGAATATCAGTCATGATGACAAATCAGAGGTAAGATTATTTCTATTTTACTTTTCCTTTATTGAGCAATTCTCAGTAATTGTTCCTTATGATTCATTTATGTAATAGACTGGGAAACACTTACTACTGTTAGGTATGTCTTGTCTTACTTCCTCCTTTCTTGACTTATTTCACCACAATAAGAAAGAATGAGTAATATATCTATGTACGGTCAAAGGTCAAAAGTCCACTGCCACCGTAAGACTACTATCGGTTGCGCTGCAGCGCTTATACACACTTGCACACGCATATTTTTATCCGTGTACGTACGCGTGCGTGTATTTATGCGTACGCACGCGTTTTTATGCACATTAATATAAAATTACTAACGCATTGCTGTGTGAACATCACTCACGGTGGCAGTGGACTTTTGACCTTTGACTGTACATAATTGTTATTGATATTACT